TTAGGGTTTAGGGTTTAATGGGGAAAGGAATTATATAGTCTTAGGCATATTATCCTAATGATGGACATGGAGGGTTCAGGGATCAGGGTTTAGGGATCAGGGTTCAGGGGTTAGAGGGAATTATTCAAGGATTAGGGTTTGGGGAAAATGGAAACTGCAACATTCTTCGGGATTGCATGAACTATAGTCGAAACTCCTACAAGTAGCATCCCTGTTAATAACCCCTATAATAGGAACCCTACAAAGTCTCCTATATAACTCCCTTCAAGGAGTTTAAACCTAAACCCTCAACCCTATTATAACCCCCTTTAAGGATTTCCGACTCTAAACCCTAAACCGTGTGCAAACCCCCTTTACGGAGTTTAGACCCTTAACCCTAAGCTCTAGACCCTTAACCCTATACAACCCCCTTTAACGAGTTTAGACCCTAAACCCTGAATCCTAAGCCCTATATAATACCAATGTAACCCCCCTGTACGGGGACAACCATAAGGATCCATTCCTTCACACCACAGGTAGGCTGGAGCGGTATATTGTGGAAGGCTGAAGAAATAGACAGTGACAAGGGCTTAGGGCTTCGGATGTAGGGATTAGGGTTTACGGTTTATGTCTGTAGGGTTTAGGATTTGGGGCTTAAGGTATAAGATTTAGGGTTCAGGGTAAGGAATCATTTCTGATATCATGATCTATCTGAGGTATCCCATGCTGCAATTGTACAAGGGATCTATGGCTTAGAGTTTAGGGTTAAGTCTTGGTAATTGTCGGAGCCCGCACTCCTCCGCAGGCGGGAACCGGGCATCGAGCCATGCCATGTGGGTGGAATAGTCCTTACATGCTTTAGGTTTCAGGACTTGTGGATTTAGGATTGAAGGTCCTGTATTAAGGCGTAGGACGTTGGGTTTAGGTTTCAGCGCTTTAGGCTTTAGGCTTGAGCAGCTTAGGCTGGAGGATTTACAAAACATAGGAGGACTACTGTAGACGTTACAGAGGTCAATGTAGGTTAGGCCTGAGCCCAGAAGTTCTGGTGGAGTGGCCGACTCCACATTCAATTTAAGCACGCATGATGTAAGGGCAAATAGGTTCAAGGTGGATTGGGCCTCGCTTCTGTACCTGCAACCTAAACCCTAAACCCTGAACTCGAAATCCTAAGCCTAAAAGCCCTGGACGCTAAACTCTAAACTCTGCGGGGGGCCTCGCAACCTTCTTCTACTTGGAGAGCGAGACACTTCTTCTAGCCTACTTTTGATGGTACCTCAACTACAAGAGCATGCTTCCTTAAAGGGCATGCGCCTTGTGCGTAGCCGAGTACCTTGACGAAAGAAATGCTTGGTGCCCAAGACTTAAGCGCTTGGGTTTAGGGCTTCGGGTTCAGGGCTTAGGGCTTAGGGTTTAGGGTTTGGATTTAGGTTTTGGGGTTTAGGGCCTCCAAGTCATCCCTACGTTCCTCAACAGGGTCACATTTTATGGATCCGTGGGGGAATCTATGAACGCGTGCCCATGTACTTATCCCGAAAGCAGAGGCCTGGGCTCTTAACTCTTCTCAACCTTCGGTGCAAACCTTAAACCCTAAACCCTAAACCCCTAAACCCTAAACCCTAAATCCCTAAACCCTAAACCCCTAAACCCTAAACCCTAAACCCTTAAACCCTAAACAAAATCTGCCAAATCAACCTTAAGCCCTGAACCCTAAGCCTGGACTTCAAAACGCTTCACCTGCAATCGCTACCTCCTACCTTGCGGCTAGAACTTGGCTAGAATTACCCTAAACCCTAGGGTTTAGGGCTTAGGTTTAGGGTTTAGGGTCTAGACCCTGAACCTCCAAGTACCTCGAGTCAGATTCTGCTGGCTCTATGAAGCTTTTTGGCAGTGATGTAATCCCCTCCACCTAATATTAAACTCCCCCCTAATAGGGGTTATCAGTAGGGTTTGGGGTTTGGTTTAGAGCTGATATCCCCCTAATTTTTAATATACCACATAATGGAAATATTTCATATTAGGGGTGGTGTTTAATACTGGGAGGGGATTAGTTTACAGCCTGGCCAACTCCTCGTACATGCCGTCAAATAGGTTCCAACAAATCCTGGCACCCTTGAATAATTGAATAAGAAGAAATACCTACTATAGCCTGTCATGAGACGCTTCCCCGGGTACCGAAAGGCCCCTGCGATTTTTGAACGTTGCCCGTTCAACCAAGACAGAAACGTTTTCTGCAACCAGCGGATGAGAAAATCCAGCAAGACCTTAACCCTAAACCCTACTTGGAGGCCCATGGGACTTAGTAACTGCTTATAACTGGGATTATAACCCTACTTATAACTTGGGCAACTCCATTTAGGGGGATTATAAGTAGGGTTATAAGCCCAATTATAAGTAGTTACTAAGTCCCATGGGCCTCCAAGTAAGCCCTAAACCTAAGCCCTAAACCCTTCATCCTAAACCGAAACCCCAAACCCTAAACACTAGTTGAGGGACTCATGCCCTTTCCCTAAACCAAGGAAACCCTATACGAGCTATAGTCTAAACTCCTAGTATCCTCCTTAATAACCCCTATAGTACTCCCCTCTATAATCCCCTATGTAAACCCCCTTTAGAGAGTTTAGACTATAGCTTACGTCCCTGAGCCTTCCTGCGGACTTTGAGAGCCCCACAGGTCCCAGGACCTGCCTCATCTCTGCATAGACTATGACTGTCGTTGGTTTAGAGTTTAGGGTTTTGGGTTTAGGGGTTTAGGGGTTTAGGGTTTAGGGGTTTAGGATTTAGGGGTTTAGGGTTTAGGGGTTTAGGGTCTCCCAGCTGGACATTCAGCATATGGCCTCACCAATATTTTAACAAACCGATTTTTGTTTGTGTATCCACCAAGCTTACGAGTCTTAAAAACCTTTAGCCCAGACCCTAACTCCTGAACCCAAAACCCAAAACCCGGCTTGTTCTTACATGGTACCTTCAGTCCCTTGACCTTAACCCTAAACCTAAAATCCTAAACCCTAAACACCCTAAACCCTTTACCCTCAAACCTAAACTCCAAACCCTAAATTCTAAACCCTAAATCCTAAACCGAAAGGGAAGCACAATGGCCAGCAAGCGTCATCCCAGACCGACACGGAGAGAACCAGCCCCCTGGCCAGTGCCTCCAGGGAACACCAAGTCCCCCCTAAGTAGATGGAATATAGGGTTTGCGGTTTAGGGATTAGGGATTAGGGTTTAGGCATTACAGTCCCCCTTAAGTAGATAGAACATGGGGGTATATGGGGATCTTCTTATACTATACCCAAGGCCATAGTCCATCCACTTAAGGGGGACCGTAACCCTAAACCCTAAACCCTAAATAGTAGTTTCCATTTTCTTTTCCATTATCCCTATAAAACCCCAATATAACCTTAATATTCTATCTACTTAAGGAGGACCCTAAACCCTAAACCCTGAACCCTAAACCCTAAACCCTGTACGCGAGGTTATTTGGGGCCATAGGATCCATGCGGTTACACAGCGGTCTGGACTCACGGATCCCTTGAAGGTTCATGCGACTTTAGATGGAGCCACGCGGTTTAGGGTTTAGGGTTTAGGGAGTTTAGGGCTTAGGGTTATAGCTTATAATTCGGCTAACCTGTGCAAGTCCAACTGGGAGGATTGTAACTTCAAGGGCTAAGCCCAGTTAGATATAGTTACTGGGCACCATACACTCAGAAGTAAGGATCTTGGGGCTTTAGGATCTTGGACGATATGGTTGGGGAGCTTTGTCTTTAGGGCTCTGTTTAGGGTTCAGGGGTTTGGGATGTCAAGTGTAGGGGTTCTAAGATTTAGGGTTCAGGGTTTAGAGATTAAGGTGTAGAGCCTGAGGTCCTCAGCTAAAAAATGACCGAAGGCCCTGCAGGTCACTGGACTCAAAACATCCACACGGTTTAGGGTCTAGGGGCTTGGGGGTTTAGGGGTTTTAGCGGCTTAGGTGGGTTTAGGGGTTTGGGGTTTTAAGGGTTCAAACCCTAACCCTAAACCCCTAGACCTCTAAACCCCTAAACCCTAAACCCCTAAACCCTTAAACCCTAAACCCCTAAACCCTAACCCCTAAACCCTAACCCTCTAAACCCTAAACCCTAACACCTTTTCCCCTGCAACTCCGCGAGCCCCGATGGGTGCCTCTCCCATGGAAGCAAGCCCACCCTTCTCCTCGGAGTTTGGATCTACTTACTTGGGGTCTTAGTAGGGAATAAGGGTGTGTATATGTGTATATATATAGAGAGAGAGAAAGGGATTTGGGTTCAGGGTATAAGGTTTAGGGTTTGAGGATTTAGGGATTTGGGGTTTAGGGTTAAGGGCTTAGGATAGGGACTAGGGGAATATGCTACATAGTGGTTATGTAGGAACTATATTGCCTCATTCCCGGCTAGCCGCTAGTAAGTCTCGGGCTCGAGGGCTTGAAGCTTAAGGCTCCCAGATGGCGGTCCACGCAGGATTGAGGGTGCGAGGTCTAGGCCTACAGGTTTCCCTAAATAGTAGTTTGCATTTTAATTTCCATATAACCCCTATGTAACCCCTATGTAATCCCTATATAACACCTATATAATATGGTAGTTTCCATTTTGTTTTCCATTCTCCCAAATGTTTCCCCAATATAACCCTAATATTACCCCAATGGGCCCGTTTCAAACCCTAAACCCTTAGCCCAAACCCCAAACCCTAAACCCTAAACCCCAAACCCTAAACCCAAACCTTAAACCCTTGAAGGCTCAGGTTTGGAGGGACGAGAATGTCGATCTTCACCGCCTTTGGTGAGGCTCTCTTACTGTTGTTTCGTGAACCTTTTTTCGGAATAGTGCCAGTGTAGATCCCGTATTAAATCGATAGAACCACCAACGCCACAACAGCCACCACCATCCTAAACCCTAAACCCTAAACCCAGGCGTTCTCCTACCAACCCCAGCATCATGATCCGAGCGCCCCGAAAGTACGCACTCCAGCCACCACCTTGTTAAATGGTTTAGGGTTTAGTGTGTAGGTATCAACTGCTGCAGGGCCAAAAATAATTAGGATAGCGCTTGGGGTAGATCCTACGTATTTGTATAGGATTATATTACTATTCTTCACTGTAGTAACCACACTTCCACATGAAGCTGAAACTCAAAGACTATTGCCCTTTTGCCCTGCAGGGGGTTCTATGTTTGATTGGAGGAAGGCATGTTCTTAAGCAAGTGGACAAACGGCACTCTGATGTAACACTGGTAGAGCCCAGACCAAAAACACAAAGCCCCCAAACCACCCCAAAGCCTACACCCTGAACCCTCCCCACGGTCCTGGTGGTGGTCATAGTCCTCGAAAGCAATCTTCTGAGCGTTGCAGAAGCTGTCGGTGATGGCGCTGCCATTCACACCTCTGGCTGGGTTTAGGGTTTTGGATTTAAGGGATTGAGGGTTTAGGAGTTCAGGGCTTCAGGGTTTAGGGTTTAGAGGGGTAGGGTTTTGGGGGTTTAGGGGTTTGGGGGTTTATGCAAGCAGTCTGCAGACGATCCGAGCGAGAATGACGCCTGGATCCTTAGCCAGAACATGGGATATACAAATTATTAATTACGCCGGCTTTCAAGCATCTTGTCCAGGTGAATATGATGCCAACAATACCGAGCAGTAAGTAGCTGCAACAGCAGCAGTCGTGGCAGCAAGAAGCATCACCTAATAGTCGTACTTTTAACCTCACTAACAGCAGTGGCAGCAGTAGCAGCGGTAAGGATGATGTGAATCAAGTTCTGGCCCTAACCTTAAACCCTAAACGCTAAACCCAAGCGCTTTGGCTTAAGCTCCGTCTTTGCATGTGCAAGTGGTGGTTTGGCGATGTACCGGCTAATCACCTTCGCGTTATTTTTTAATGAGGTTGATAGTTTGGATCGTAATACCTCGGCGTC